AAGTCAGAGAATCTGAAAGCTGCCCCCTGTTTTTTCTTAGGCACAGCAGCCGTCTCTTGTCCCCTCCCCAGGGTGGTAGTTTTTTCACACCAAAAGGCTCTCCACGTCAACCAACTGCCAAGGAACACCTGCCCACCGCAAAGCATTCTGGGACATATACCCTGGTCAGCCCTGCTGGCCTCTTTAATTGCCCTGCCTGAACCCAAAGCATGCCTCATACTTACTTCTAATATTTTGCTGTAGTTACTGAACATCGTGGGGGACAATTAGCCGCAGCAGGGAAGCTGTTTGTCAGGGAAGAAATTTCCAATAGGCTGCATGGGAGACCTATGGGAGCTCTAAAGCCCACATCAATAATACAGCCTTACCCGGTCTTTGCCTCCAGTGGCAAGGTAGCACCCGTCAGGACTGAAAGCACAGCAGGTAACTCCAGCAGTGTGACCCTGAAGGGTAGCGAGTGGGGAGACGCTGGTGTCCGTGGCCAGGCCGGGTCTCAGGGTCTCTGTGAGCCACAGACGGATGGTGAAATCCTCTGGAAGAGGGAAAAGAGACGGGTAAGAAGATGGCAGCATCTGGAGGATGGACATGCCAACCTTCCTCTACTCAAGAGCAGGAGCCAGAGGCAGTAGAGAACCTAGCCTGCAGTAGTCAGGGGCCACATGCCACAGTTTCTCTTACTAGCCACTGGCCACTCTGGACAATACTTTCGGCAGAGAGAAATTTTGGGACCACATCAGACTGGAAGTCTAACTTTCAGTCCCGATATGGCTAAAAGTTACTTACTACTAAAGGAAAGCCACTCTGCACGTGCTCAGTGGATCCCTTCCTGTTTATTTCTTTAAAAATCCCAAGATCGGCCTTGAAATTAAAACCTAATACAGAGAAAGTTAATCACACCTACATACTGTTGAATGGGAAATCACAAGTGACAAGTCCCGTTGATTTCCATGGTCCTGAAGAGCCACGTACATTCTCCCAGCCAGGGCCAATAACTAATCCAGAAAACTATGATTGTCTTGGTTTTATTTGGAAAAGAAAAGTTAACAATTCTGCTGTATAATTCTTGAAATGTAACAGAAGTATTATTTTGACTTAAGAACTTATTTGATTTGCAATGAAATGTTTACAGAGGTCTACAAATGCATATGCTTTCTGTTTTCGGCCTTCCAGGTTTATAGCCAGAATAAAACATTTACAATTTGAACAAGTAAAAAACAAAAACAAACCTTGAGACTACCAAGGAGACCCTAATGCAGCTGGACACCATGATCCGGGCTGTGCAAGCAAAGGCCTAGCAGGCCCAGGGAGCCTGAGTAGCAGTGGGAGGAGGCCAGGCCTACAACTCCCAGAAGTCCCTGAGTGGTTTTGGCGCCAATTTTAGCCTATCACAGAGAAAGGGGACTTATAATAAAAGAGCTGGTACAGGAGAAGAGCTTTCTTCCAAGAGAGCAGGGCCAGAGGGAAGGCTGCTGCTGGGAGAGACCCTCACCCTGAGAGGAGGGGTGAGTAGACTCAGGCCCAGGGGTCTTGTTGTAGAAAAAGAGCTGCCGGAGCTCATTAGCATAACTCATTAGCATAACTTATTTGCATATGCCACGCCCCCTGACATCACCGGAAGTGACAGAAGGCCACACCCCCTGACATCACCGGAAGTGTGTCAGAAGGCCCGGCTACTTACCCTCCTGCTTCATCCTTATTCCCAAACGAAATGAGGATCGAAGCAGAGGGCGGGGTAAAGAAGGGGGCGGGGCTTCACCACGTGATTGCCCCGCCCCCTAGAGGTTCTCTTCCAGAGCTCCGTACCTGAGAGCTCCCCCCCCGACTAGAGCCCTGCTCAGGCCCAACCGAGACAGTGGACTAGGGACTGTGAGTCTAGTCCCGTTTGGGCATTTGGTTTCTTTTCTCTTCACCCATTTATTGCTATTCCTCTTACACCTTGTTTGTTCCACATATTTGACTGACCTATAAAAATAATCCTCTTATTTGTTGTTTACTCTGCCTGGTCCTCACACCTATTATTGGGAGGGTGCTCTGGGCCTTCTCAAGGGATCCTAAAACCAGAGTGGTGACCAGTGTTCCCTCTAAGCTGAGTTAGTGTGAGCTAACTCACAATTTTTTAGCCTCCAGCTCACAGATTTTTGTCTCGGCTCAGGAAGGATGGCTCCAGACTGCAGTGTTCCCTCTAAGCTGAGTTAGTGTGAGCTAACTCACAATTTTTTAGCATCCAGCTCACAGATTTTTGTCTCGGCTCAGGAAGGGATGGCTCCAGAGCAAACTGATTTATGCAGTAGCCAAATCGCTCGCTCACAACTTGAATGCCAGTGGCTCACAAAGCAGAATTTTTGCTCACAAGACTCCACAGCTTAAAGGGAACATTGGTGGTGACACCCCACCTGAGCCGTGATATGCCTGAACTGACATACATGGACCACGGCAGCCTGTCTTTCTTGTTCTTTTGACTTCATTAGGGTAGTAGGACCTTTTACTAATTGCACCTGTGTTGCTGCAGCCTGACACTAGGTATAAATTATGGTGCAACACATGGTAGGATAAGGACCCATGATCCTTCTTGATTGATTATACTGGCTTTGTATATGCCTTCTACTGAGATTGGGGTGAGTTTTCCCGCAGCTCCATATTATGCAATTTATGTATTATGTATGAATGTTCATTCTCACTTGTGTATGTTTTGAATTTGCATTTAGCCCCACTATAGCCTATTGGTGTTTTTTTTAATAAGAATCACTCGAAACGCAGCAGCTTGCATCCGGACTACACGTCTGCAAAAACCCTGACCCCTCAATGGCTTTCTATGGCTTATGGAATTTCTGAATGTCCACTCCACGATGAAATGCACGTCAAATTGGATGATGATATTACCAGGGCCGGCTCACTCACTAGGCAAACTAGGCAATCGCCTAGAGTGGGCCGGCCCTTAGGGGTGCCAAACTGCACCCGGCCCCGTAGTCTGGGAGTTTCTTGATTATTTGTGTTTTTCATTCTTCCTAAAATGCATTTATTTTTGAAAATTGGTGGGCACACGGGGAGGGGGGCGCCAGAAGGGATCCCCGCCTAGGGTGTAAAATAAGCTGGGGCCGGCCCTGGATATTACAACACAACTGGAGTGAGACACAGTTAAATATTTGGGACTTTATTCTTCTTTCTGTACTTTGGTTACACCTTGGCCATTATTGTTATTGTTATATTTCTGTATTACTGATTCATCTTTCTATTTTATACATATTTTTTGGTTATCTCTAGCCAGTGGTTTTTGTGCCTTGTTCTTATCCTTGTACACTGGCTCCCCTTCTTTTTTTGGTTTATACATGGACCACAGCCAGTGTTCCCTCTAAGCTGAGTTAATGTGAGCTAGCTCAGAGATTTTTAGCCTCCGGCTCACACATTTTTGTCTCCGCTCAGGAAGGATGGCTCCAGAGAAAACTATTTATTTATTTATTTATTTATTATTTGTATTTATACCCCGCCCTCCCCGGAGGCTCAGGGCGGCTAACAACATATAATTAATAAAACAGTAAAACAGTAGAAAAAATACAAAATATTAAAATTACATCATAGTGTATAACCTATCTAAAACAGATCTAGCTAAAACCAAGATGGCGGTCCTCTAAGCGTCCCAGTCTTGCCCATATCCAGATGTCCTCCCGGGCGTCGATAGTATGCTGATACATTGGTGGTCTAGTGGTGGTGGCGGCTCCTATTCGAAAGCCTGGCGGAAGAGCTCCGTCTTACAGGCTCTGCGGAACTGTCCTAGGTCCCGCAGAGCCCTGATCTCCTCCGGGAGCTCGTTCCACCAGATAGGAGCCGCCACCGAAAACGCCCTGTTCTTGGTCATAGTCAACTTGATGGACCGGGGGCCCGGTACCTCCAATAGGCTCCAGCTCCCCGACCGTAGTGCCCTTGGGGGAACATGTGGGGTAAGGCGGTCCCTTAGGTAGGCTGGTCCCTGGCCATATAGGGCTTTAAAGGTGATAACCAGCACTTTGAAGCGAACCCGGTACGCTATTGGCAACCAGTGCAGCGCTTTCAGCACAGGCTGGATGTGATCTCGTCTAGGAAGATCCATCAACAGCCTGGCTGCAGCATTCTGCACTAGTTGCAGCTTCCGAA